AATGGCAAACAAGCTGACGTGTCACTTGATGGAAAGTAGAACCGTCGTCAATACACACGAACAGCATGAACATAACAGAGTATACTGTATTGCCATAATAATGCAAGTACATCTGCTTCACGGCAGAAACACGAGTGGGACATAAGTACCTTTGTAGAGTACGTTTGTACAAAATCTCCCTCTGGTATATGTGATAAAAAGTAGTAAATTTTTTTCTCCATCCCAAATACTTATTTATATATTTACTATGTATATGCCAAATTAATATACATCAATATATTGATACATCGTCTATATATTGGCCAATAACGGATATATAATATCGAGATGAAAAAATCTATTGAAATTAATATAGATATCTGACTGGTATAAGCGATATTGAAATGGATGATCACCCATTTTTCTGCCGTCAATGGCCAGAGGAACCCAATATTTAGATATCGGAGTAGTATTAACTTTACTTATCCCTACTTTAAAGAAGCGGCACAAGAATCCGAATGATTTTGTTTATCGAAAAATTTGTAATAAATAAAAATCAGTAATTTTTTTTTTATAATTAAACTACAAAATCAGAACGATGATAATGAACAACTATTAATTAATGATTTAGCGATTAGTAGAAGCAGTATAGTGAATGAAAAAAAAATTAGTAGTCGAACTAATAAACTTAGTAGTTGAATTAATAAGATTAGTCGCTGAATTAATATGTTTAGTAGTCGAATAAATAAAATTAGTAGTCCAATGATTTAAAAATCATTCGAATAATTCGAATGAATAAATAATTAGTAGTCGTAATTGTAAATTTGCACATTGCTAAAGTCAGTACAAAGTTTAATAACAATACTATAGAAATAATAGTTTTCGTTTCTATCCAGTATATGAATCTAAAATAAGACCCCATATACTCGAATTTGGTAGTGCAATAAACCCTTAAGATATTCACAAGAAGCCGATAGATGCAAACTACTTGGGACTGTATTGTTATGTTACTAGTGATTTATGAAGGAAGCCCTAGAGATATTTTTGCGGGATCTTATACTCCTATAGCTGCAGTGTTACAAATATAGTAGGTATATAATATTTTAGTTTGTACGTATTCAGTTGATGTATCTAATAAAAATTATAGTTTAAAAGTCTTGTTGTAGACCACTATGACTTTGTACGAGTTGTATGATATCAATATATTTGACAGTGTAATAAACCCCTAAGACATTCGCATGACGCCAATAGATGCAAACTAGTCGGGACTGAATTATTATATTATTAGTGATTTATGAAGAAAGCCCTAGAGATATTTTTGCGGGATCTTATACTGCTATAGCTGCAGAGTTATAAGTATAGTATATAATATATTAGTTTGTACGTATTCAGTTGATGTATCTAATAAAAATTATAGTTTAAAAGTCTTGTTGTAGACCACTATGACTTTGTACGAGTTGTATGATATCAATATATTTGATAGTGTAATCAACTCCTAAGACATTCGCATGAAGCCAATAGATGCAAACTAGTCGGGACTGAATTATTATATTATTAGTAATTTATAAAGAAAGCCCTAGAGATATTTTTGCGGGATCTTATACTCCCATAGCTGCAGAGTTATAAGTAAAGTATATAATATTTTAGTTTGTACGTTTAGTTTTACGTTTTAGTTGACGTGTTTAATAATAATAATTATAGTTTAAAAGTCTTGTTATAGACTATTATGACTTTGTAGTACGACATCAATCTATTTGATAGTGTAATGAATCCCTAAGATATTTGCATGAAGCCAATAGATGCAAACAAGTCGGGACTGTATTGTTATGTTACTAGTGATTTATGAAGGAAGCCCTAGAGATATTTTTGCGGGATCTTATACTGCAGCTGCTTCGGTATATATGTATACATATACTCTGTTATGTCCATGGTACTGCTCATGTCTATAGGCGACGGTTACCACTCTCCATCATGTGGGTCGTCAGCTTGTTTGCCATTCTAAATTGTATAAAAAAACATAGTTTATTTTATTGGAGTTTGTGTAAATTTGGTTGATGTACTTAATAATAGCATTAATAGTTTACTTGTTGTCACATGTAAACTGAAAAGTCTGATTACTGTTTTACCAGCTTTTACCAGCGACTTTTTCCATGAGATTGGGATATATTTAGTAACCGGGGAAAAAGAAGCCTATATCTTTTAATTAAATTAGTTTAATGATTAGTAAAGCCGTTAAGGTGCTATAAGAAACCAAATAAACAACTTTCACATTTATAATATTAATAAGGTTCCATAGTTGCGGTGTGGTTATTAACAAAGGAGTTTTCTCTCGTGTCTCGTTCGATACTACTCCCTGAATTGGTAAAAAAAAACAATAAATGATATGTTATACATACGTGTCTTATATGGACGAATGAATAAATATATATTGATTGTATTCTATTGTATATAATAAATTTGCATTAGTTACCATATCGTAATCATAATAATCCATTACTGTCTCAAAAAGTACTAGTATGTCTTTATTTTGACTGTATTTTTATTTATTCGTACAATTTAATTGGATGATGTTATATTTATGTTTGTATCTATTATAAGTACCTACTACAAATGTTTGTATATTTTCCTTTAATAAATAAGCAAATATAATGAAAATAAAAATTGAGCAGAGGCTTTTTGTCACAAGAGAAAAAGTATTAACCTACTTTTCTTCATAAAAGAAAAATATTTCCTCTATATGCTGGTCAGGCATTTTGGTATGTTTTTATTTCATTCCTTCACTTATATTAGTGTACAGTACTATGTTCCCCTAGGAGCTTTACTACATTCCGGAGAAAAGGAATGATACGCTAATATATGCGAGTAATTTTATAATGGCGTGTATATGTTACTATAAAAGCCCGTATATTGTTAACAAGTAAATCTTATAATTTACCAATATGAGTTGGTAATTGTAAGGTTCTAATTTAACCAAATATATCTTTCTGACTATGAGTCTGTTACTGTCAAAACTCGAATTACAGTAAATCTAAAATTTTCTTATTTACATAAGAAACGTGGAATGAAGACATGTTTAATCGTTAATTGTCTTCGTAATCGTGTTCAGAAAGATAGGTTTAATTAGTTTCGTAAAAATTATAAAATGATCTTTTTTTTCAACCGATTTCAAAAAGGAGATTCTCAATTCGGTTATAGTTTTTTGTTTGTTATCTCATAACTCCATCAGTTTTAAACCGATTTCGAAAATCCTTTTTTCATCTGAATGCATATACTTACAGTTTAGTCCCATAGAAATTTTATCAACATCGTTTCAGTAGTTTGTTCTTTAAATAAAAATATTTTTTTGGGACACATTTTTAACTTATGTTTAATCCAATCCATGTAAAACTCAAAATTTACTAATGTACAGGCTTTTATCGTAATATAAGGAAGGAAATAGTTTTGCTGTACGAGAACTCTATTAAATAGGTACATAATTATAGTATCATAATATAATACTCGTCAGAAATTGGCTTATTCTAATTTGTCTATGATGAATTTGGAATAAACAATTAAAGTAAATTCTGATGCTTAGATGCCACTTGATGCTTAGAATTAATTAAAACAGCGTCAACAATTTTATATAATACTGCTATATCATTTGAGAATGCTATATTAATGTTTTTTTCTTTTTTGAAAAATCGCAGTAATTTGTTTTTGATAAGGGCCCGTAGTAAATTAAGTGTTTATCTACTAATATTGTAATTAGAAAAGATTTGATTTTAGAATGTTTATTTGTAATGAATTAACTCAAAAACTAGTCAACCGATTTAAAAAATTAATTCTTTTTTTTTGTACCACTGAGGTGGCAAACAAGCATACAGCCCACCTGATGGTAAGCGATTACCGTAGCCTATGAACGCCTGCAATACCAGAGGCATTACGTACGCGTTGCCGACCCTGAAGAAACTTTTACCCCCTTTTGAAGAACCCCATGCTGTAGTCTCTTGGGAAAACCTCGGCAGGGAGCTCATCATCATTTTTATAAAGTTAGATACGAAATTACAATAATGTAACCCAAAGTATCAATTTATGTATTAAAGGTAATATAAAGTACTAATCTTTCCATTTGTTTACTCGTGTGGATCCGGGGCGGAGCACTAATTTAAAATAATTCAATTTACAGTTTTTTTTTTATACCGTGAAGCAGTTGTGTTTGCATGGCTGTGTTTCGGTTTGAAGGGTGGGATATGGCGTGAATTTTCTGGGTACAGAGGAATAACACCTGAGTCCTCAGGAAAGGCAATGCATGGGGGGTATCATGGGTTTCGCCCCAGTATATACTATTATGTCATGGTACTGCTCATGTCTATAGGTGACGGTTACCACTTTCCATCAGGAGGGCCGTCAGCTTGTTTGCCATTCTAAGTTTTATAAAATTTACAGTTAGTAAAGAATATAATCGATTGAAAATTATTATTAAATGCAAATCGTAGAACAGAAACACTTCTGTATTTTCAATCCAGTTGACGCTAGACATCTGGCGCGAGACCGACTCTTATGCAGTTTAGAAAGGCAGAGATAAGCACAACTTGCATATAGTTTATTTTAGAAATAAACCGTTTAAAACAAAGTCAACATATGAATCCGTTTGTCGGTTCATTTATAAACGTTTGTGAAGTATTTACTTAGTTACTAGCTAATTAGTAGCGCCTTGTTCTAAGTAAATTAATTAAAAAATCTGTAAATAAATTTTATTAGAATCAGCGCATTGAATACCTAGATTTTTAAACAAACATCAAGGCGATGTTTAATAATTATTATAATATTAAATAAGATCACATAGATAAATATTATTAAAAGAAATTATTTGATCTTTCTAGATCACAGTCAAGTTCTAATCGGAACGATTTTGTAAGTAAGAATTATCATAAATTACCATGATATTTGGTCGACCCTTATCATTTAAATTATGACTCGGGGGATAGACGCTTTGACTGACGTAATTTGATTTGGTTTACAAGAAAAAGATTTACGCTTACCTCATCCAATTCAATAGGGTCAATATCTCCTATACTGCTAGTCTCCTCTATGATATTCGTCAAATACATACTAGGTCTCATAGAAACTCTTGGTCTAGAAACTGATGTCTTTCGGAATGTATTATCTACTTCATTTTTGCTATCTTCACTCAATGTTGTAAATTGATCGTAGAAATTAACTGCTGGCGACGAATCACTATCAATGCTGCTACTACTGATTTCGGAAAACGATTTTCTATGTGTGTTCAGTGTTGATGCCCTTTTTTCGATGGGCGTATTCGGGTCAGTAAATTCGAACTCCAAATCGAAACCTCTATTTTCGAAGATACTTTTAAATTTATCCCAACACCCTGGGTTTCTCTCTTTTCCATCTTTTCTAGGATTCTTATATGTCTTCTCGTGTTTACTCTCAGCCATTTTAAATGACTTATTAAATGACTTTGTTATATTTTAATATATTATTCATAGAATGGATTGCGTGTCGGATATGTGACTAATCTTTTAATTATCGGGTGTTAATTTAAAAAGATATGCCAAAAAAGATAATATTACATTTATATCTTAATATAAGTAAATCAGCGTTGATGACTACAAATCAACGAAAAATAAGGCTTGTGTATTGGTTGTAACGATGATTTTTACTGATAACACGTAAATAGTTAGTAGTTCTTGTGATCAATCAGCTGATAACGATGTTGAATATGTACAGAATATTATTAGTAGGTCCTTTACAAAATGCCACACTTTGGAGTAAACTCATATTAGGTAATGTTATTTCGACCAGTTACATACTATTCAAGACAGTACACTGTTATTATTAAAATGTGGTAATACCACCACAAACTAAAAGTAACACATTAAATTATTAAATAAATAAAAGACCAATTAAAATAAATTTAGATAACTTCACAATTTCAATCACAAGTGTATGAGTAAATAAATGTATAATAACAACTGACACTCGGAGACAGTCCGACACGAATACACAAACGAAACTAGGCGTTTTCAATAATTTCTGTCTAGAACGATAATATTATGATAAAGTCTGCTTATCGAATAGTCATTATAGTGATATATTATGTACCTACGTATTTTAGGTATCAATCATTTAATTAGTTTGGCTGGTAGGTAATAGATGACTAGGATATATAAGACGAGCGGTAATTGCTACAATGCGACAAGCATAATTATTTGAGATGCCTGAAACGGCTAAAAACTTCTGGTTTGAAGCACAGAATAAATATTTATTTATTACATTTACTAAGGGAGCTTCACAGTTTCCTAATGCGCTCGTTTTGGAATCACAATATACAAAATATAATTTAATTACTGGACACTTTCTAAATAATTTATTGCTATTCTGCGAAACTTGACAAGTTCACAAGTTAATATATCCAAGTCCGGAAACTGACTCATGACACCGTTGAGCAGAGTCAGTGCCAGTGGAAGAGGAGACTGTTTTGGTAGTTCCATTGTTCTCAGTATTACATTTCTTGAAATTGTCACAGGAATTCGTACTAAATAAAATTAGTAACAAATTGAAACATTCAATTAATGGATTTTATAATTTGTTCTACTATTGAACATTAGCTGACTGGTCGGGTCAATTATTCGTACTCGTATATTGAGAATGTGAAAGAGTTTGTATGTTTGAACATACTAATCCCTAAATTTACATGTCAGATTAAAAAAAACCTTTTTGTGTTCGATAGCTCATTTCTTGAGGAGTAAGGCTTCTCAATATACGGTACTGGGGGGAAGGGATTGTTAGCAATGGAGTTTGACAGCCCCATTGATAGCCTGGAAACCATCGTGAACAATTCTTGTAGAATTCATCACGATAGGCTAACTGACCTGTTTCATTCTCGTCTATCATCCTTCACTGGTGCCCTATCAGCGTATACCGATAGCGCGGGTGGGGTTACTATTTCATTATAACCTATAAATAAAAAATATACAGTACTGAGGGAGAGAGATTGTTAGTAGTGGGGTCTAATAGCCCCATTGTTAGTAATATACTCTATTAGGTCGATATCCACGTGGCTCCCCCTAGAAACTATTGTAGTTAACTCTTGTTAAATTCATCATCACCCATTTTGATATCACCCATATCGATCGCATATCTATTTTCGAATACATTAAAAGTCTATTATGCTTTTTTTTATTTTTTGGATAACAGATTTTTAATATATCCGTTATCGGACCAGTGTATATTGTAAATATTGTAAATAAAATATATTGATATTGTTAAATATTATCCACCCCTATTCGGCATGGAAAAAATATACGCTACGTTTAATTCATATTACTCGTATTTTATGTTCAACCAATATGTCTGAAACACGGGCCCGTTTTGTTCATTTTTCTAATACATTTCATAAAAGTTACCTTTCACGAAACGTATTATAATGTTCATAATAATGAAAGTAGTTGATATATTGTGGTGGGTTTATGTACTAAAGACCATTCCTTGTTATCTACAGAGAGAAACCTGTACATACAGCAGCGGACAGTGATGGTAGTGTATATAAATTTATTTATTTATTTATTTTATTTTAATTCTTTATTGTACGCACTAGTTATAAGAATACGACGGAGGTAATCAAAAGTACAAAGGCGAGCTAAACTCTGATAGAGTTTTCTTCCAGCAAACCCAAAGTGGAAATGAGCATCAATGTCAGCGGATACAGCAGTGTATAATATTGTGACAATTTTTAATCATTTAATTTTTAAATTCTTAGTAAATTACCACAATCATACTCATAGTGTCATGTAACTATAAAAATATGTGCTAAGTGTGTTTAATATGTTCAAACTATATATATATGGAGAAAAAAGTTGGAGTGAGTGGCGATTCCGCATACGCATCATAGGACGACACCCCTTTCCTACTAGATAGACCGACGACCTCAAATGCATTGCAGGAAGTTTGTGGATGTAGGTGGCTCGGTACCGTTCCTTATGGCGGTTTATGGGGGATTCTTATGTTTAGTAGTGGTCAGCTAACGGCCTGATATGATGTGATGATATATGAAACAGAATTTAGAAGCAGATTAACATTTAAAATTTCTCCGACATGGAATAGAACTAGGGACCTAAAATATGCCATACCGCTACATTATTGAAGTCGTCCACAAAAGTCTGTGGTGGTAATGATGTTTTCTGAAATGTATCAAAAGTGTGAAATTAGAAATGTCTCTTTAAAGACATAGATAGAAGGAAAAGAAAGACTCAATGTCGCCTCAAGCCACTCGCGTTCGGTATTTTGAAAAAATCTGTAAACATTATTATGTCTTTGATGTTTAATGTATAGATAAGCGATAGATCCATAATCTAAGAGTGTGTTATATTTAAACAAAATTAACAACTTCAATTCTGTTATTTACGTCTGTTATTTGTATACATATGCTTAGATATATTAGATATTAAAAGAAAAATTGATAAGCCATTATTTTGAGATTTTATTAATACAACTATGGTGGCAAACAAGCGTATGGACCGTCTGATGATAAATAAAGTTACCGTAGCCTATGGACGCCTGTAACACCAGGGTGTCACGCGCGCGTTGCCGACCTTTAAGAACCCTTAATACACTTTTACAAATTTTTATTGACAGCTAGACGCGTCACGCTAGTATGAGAGGTTTATAAATTTTTTAGCATCGAGACTCAAAAACGAGTCAACTTTTAGTCAGCTTATTGTCAAATTAGCTGACTCGTTTTTTTATCAGTAATGTATATATGTATTTTGGCGTATTATTTATAAATAAAATGAGTGTTTACGCATTTTTTTAATGGATAAAAATGGATTGGTAACCCCGCCCGCGCTATCGGTATACACCGACAAGGCACCAGTAGAAGAAAATAGGTGATCATGAATGCAGGTTAGTTGGCTCACCACGATGAATTCGACATGAATTAAACATGGTTTCCAGGGGGAACCACGTGGAGGTCAACCTGAGAGGGTATATTGCTAGTAATGGGGCTATTAGACCTCATTACTAACAATCCCTTTCCCCCCAGTGTTTACGCACTTAAAGATGTAAAAATTATAAGACAAAATAAATATAGAAGTATCATATATTATATTATATATATATGAAAAAGTTGACCCGTTTTTCTCTAAGCATTTTTATGGAGACACTCTATCTATATACACTAAGTATTAGCTAAATAAAAAGTGTGTTTAAGTTTATCAGTGTACAATCAGAAACAACATGCTAAAGCCGAGTTCCGCCTTTTTTAGTAATTCAGTCTAGTCATAAGAATATTAAGACCCGGATACACACTATATTTATTATCAAGAGACGCGTAATAAACGTGTGTGAACAATAAAATTTTAGCGATTTTAAACGAGCAGAGAATGGTAACGTATGCACTTTACAGTTTTGCACATAAATAAGTTACGATTTATCGTTGTAGCTCGAACTGTACCTACGTACAGTTCTGTTACGACCGCACTTTTCATTTCCAACTGTTAAACAAAACACTAACGTGTACAATAGAAAACTTTACAATCTATGAAAACCTGTCTGAAAATTTCAAGCAGAACGAAACACGAATTTGATGATAGAATTACAAAAGAGCGCTTCTTTTGTGATATTAATATCAATTTCGAATTTCATTCAGAATGATAAAACCTCTTTTGATCAGGATGAGGTTATAATGATCAAAATGTCACTCTTAATTTGCGGGTGGTATTTCAAATTTACTGTTTATGGTAGACCCCCGTTTTTAAATACATAATTTTTCGATCAACAAAATTTTCCTCTGCAGTTCGAACAATACAGTTTAATTGTTCCGATTTATTCCAGAAGGGAGACTTTGTACAAAAGTCGATTGCTTGGGCACCTCTGTCCCATTCGTGTTTCTACCGTGAAGCAGTTGTGTTTGCATGGCTGTGTTTCGGTTTGAAGGGTGGGATATGGCGTGAATTTACAGGGTACAAAGGAATAACACCCGAGTCCTCAGGAATGGCAACACATGGGGGGTATCATGAGCGAAACAGTATACTCTGTTATGTCCATGGTACTGCTCATGTCTATAGGCGACGATTACCACTTTCAATCAGGTGGGCCGTCAGCTTGTTTGCCATTCTAAGTTGTATAAAAAAAAAGATTTATTGTATCGTCTATAAATTAATTTGTATTTTATTGAACTAGGCGTTATCTTACGGAAATTAAGTTTAACTTCTGGAAGTAATAGAGGTGGTTAATTTTCGAGTGTTGGCAGTCATACACATACTAATGGTAGTGAAATTTAACGAAATAATTCTAATCAAATAACCAGTGAATGAATTACTGTAACAGGTTGATAATTTAAGTTATTTATAAATTGTATTTTTCAATATAGACGTGAGAATATACATAAACCGGGGGGAAACGGATTGTTAGTAATGAGGTCTAATAGCCCCATTAACTAGCAATATACCCTCTCAAGTTGACCTCCACGTGGTTCCCCCTGGAAACCATAATGTTTAATTATTGTCGAATTCATCATGGTGGGCCAACTAACCTGCATTCATTCTCACCTATCATCTTCCACTGGTGCCTCGTAGGTGTATACCGATAGCGCGGGCAGGGTTACCAATCCATTTTCACCCATTAAAAAAAATATATATACATAAATCATGTCATGGAAGTAACGCGTGTATTAATATTTATCATTAAACACAATATTATGAAGTTATAAGTAATGCTGATTAAAAAATACAATCAGATAATTTTTTTTTTATAACTACAGCTTTGATAACCGTGATACGTATTCTATCTATTGATTGCAAAGAGTAAGCACTTTCCCATCTGATCCGGTTATTTCGTCGATCTATTAAAATAGCCGGAAGCGCTAATGACAGAATATTTTTTATATAACTGATTCGGCAATATTAGCTGACAGCATTGCCCATTTAGTAGGCTTGAGTAATATGGATACCAATCTGATATGTATATATTAGGTCCCTCTGGACATTGATGGTGGAGCTATGCTGTCAGC